TATATATATAAATTTTGCATCGCGCCGTCAGTCGGTTACATCATTTTCTCCCAACCGCATTCCACGCGAATCCCACTCGGCTGATGAACTTGTGACCTCATTTCAGATATACACGGGGTTGTCCTTGTGTGAATTTGACAAATTCACAGCTTATTGAAATAAACAATGCACTTTTACGCGCAGATCACTGATTTTTGCATCTCACTGTTTCTAATCCAACACCAAACCACATTCTGAACGTTTTGATTGAATACTATCCTCCACCGTGTGATATATTTGGCTGGTTTGAGTCCATCCGATTGCGCTGTGTTGTTAGCCAAAGATGTGAGTAAGCCTACACAAACACCACCGCGTAATGTACAAGTTTTCCCACCCAAATTTGTTGTATCCAGTAGTTTTTACGAATGCAGGTTCAGCTTTGGTCTTTTTCAGTATAAGAGAGTTAAAAAGCTTCTATCGGAGTGGTATGAATCTTGTATCTTGCTGACTTGTGAAAACCAAAAGAAGAATTTTCCTGCAATACATCTCTTCAAAGCCAAAGGCATTCTACTCCGTCGATTGTTTGCCCCATGTGAACGATGTTCGTGTGAGAAGCGGGCTCCTTTCAGATCCGGTCGACTATCTTTTTATCCTCTGACTAAATTCCGCGATTCGGACAATATTGTTGACCCACCATTCCTGTTTTCTCTTATCCACCACAGTCCTCTGACTCCAACTCTCCTTAAAAGGGTTTGCCGAAGATACTGTTATACTAATGGGTGAAGATGCGTTCTAATCTACGTCGCTTTTTCGCCCTGGTTCACCACTCAGATCGGTGTTATCTATAAAAATTTTCGAGGATTTTGACGTCGATCTGTTTCTAGGTGACAAGTTATCTGATCTGGAATATATAGTCGACACTGTACTGTTGCTTGTGATTCAGGTATGTTGCAAGATTTTGTGCATAGTTCGAGTGCTACTGCAAGATGTGGCATTTGCTATAGGACTTCATTGGTCCATCCCCCAATCTCAATCTAACCGTCGCGATATCCGGCTGTTTGTGAAGGGTCCAGTGTGTGATGCAGAAGTTCGACGGATTCTGATATATGATTCAGAGAACGAATCTTTACAGAGGAATATAAGTACAAATTCTCGGTGTACCAGCACCACCGTTGATACCGCATTTCACGGGTTTGGTGTCGCAAACGGATAGGTGATGCCGAGGTCAGGCACAGAGTTTTAACTGATCGCGATCTCTCATAGGANGCGCATGCCACCTAGTAGGCTTCATCCATGTGCGATATTTAGCCAAACAGGTAGTGGATGAAAGAAAGTAATGGATGGTCAAACTAAGACCTGGTATGAGAGCTCGAAAGCCTTGATCAAGAGACTGCGTCATATAGATCATGTTCGGTTTCCTGGTTAAGAACCTCGGGGTCAGTGTAGTCAATGGTCTGAAACTCGGTGATATAGCTGAATGTCAATAAAACCACAGCGCTAGTGCATCTACTTAATTAACGTATCTGAATCCTCTATCAACTGGATACTGCTTCCAACATTCTTATTCTTCCGTCTACCCTTTCATCCAACCGAGAGCAATCAAGGGAGACAGCAGTCGAAATCGCCCCGCAAATAATTGTCGTGCAAAGTGAAAATGCAAACTCCAACGAGACTGGTCGTTGAGTGCTCTTGGTAGATGATGAAATTTGTACTATTGTTTCCCTTACGTGTACGTTCGTGTTATCAGGTCATCGACACGATGGCGAAATAGCTAAACTTCACATTCGAGAATCCAACGGTATTAAATAGATGGAAGCCGTTTGTACTATTTACCTGCGCTTTTCCCAGAGAATTAACAGGTTACACTGCCGCCGGTTGTGACACATACATGCTCAGTGACGATTCGGTGATCTTGATCACTCGATGTGCAGTTGATAAACTGGACGAACACGAAAGCCGCACCGATCGAACGGTGTTTGTGCGTAGCAGTGTTTGGGAAAAAACATCAAACCAGTAGTGAATAAACTCACTCGGGCCAATTTCGCTGATTTTGTCATTTGTCTGGCTGTCTGTGTTTGTTGTACGGCCTCGTGTTGTTGGTGTTTCTTTCCTTTGCGTGATGAAAACTGCGTGTGGTGGTGGTGGTGGTGTGTGTGTGTGTAAACGAGGTGTGAACAGTGATGAACAAATAATTCTGGACAGCTGTATTGGGTTTGGTCCGGAAACTGACGCAAGTTACATTTTAATTACGCACAGTGAGACTGCATGGTGTGCGTTGTCCACTCGGTGTCACTTCAATAACCAACTCCGACACTACTCTGTGGATCTAAGTAGCTCTGAATGTATTTTGCATCCCCGATTCGTATTTATAATCCGGAAATCGGATGGCGTTGGTTTGCACATTTCACACGTCGCGCCCCATTCTCTTGTAAATCACACTTTGGGTAACGGAATTCCGACGAAAATCACCTACCTTGGCACACAGAAACAAATCTTGAACTGACTTCTTTGCTGTAAAGAAAATTTGCTGTGCCATAATCTACTCGGTATACCAGGTTGATTCAAATACGTGTGGAAAAAACAACAACTGGTACATGAGTCAGCAAACTGTTCTGTTACCGAAATGGGATGGCTTTGTTGGGGTTGGAACCCGAGACCTTGCGTTCTTATACGTCAACTGCCTTCGCGCGATCATTCATTTCAGTCTGCAAACTCCCCGGGGTTCACTGTCAATCATAATAACCTTGGTGTCACTATCTGGTTACAATGAACCACGTCGAACCACGCAAATCTTGCATGTTTCGTTTGCTACTTCCTTTTCTCCAAGTACTCCGATAAAGTCGGTCCTTTTGCCATGGCTACAATATTGGCACAACTATGAGACAGACACATACGGTAACCCCGTATCCTTGATTTCAGTTGAACGAATTTGAAACATAAGTTCCCTGGCGCATTGATTGATTTCTCTTTCAGTTCGATTTGGCATTGAACTTTATGCAAAGTCGGTATTTTGTAGGCTCCACAAACGCACCTTCAGGTTGTCTTAATTAAAGTGCAGCATCAATAGAATAAAACTTTCAAATCCTTTAATTTTCCCTCAGATTATTTCATTGCTACCAAGGTTACAGTGGTCTTTTACATCCCGGACATGCACGGTTTTTATTTGCTACTAGTGAAGTGATACACTTTGCGGGCGCTCACACTTTCACTCGTTTGTCATTCTCGTCCCGATTCGTTTGTCCCCTCTCCCTGTTTGCTGCGCTGTCGTTTTCTTCAGGGGTTGCAATTACTGTGCGCTCTGATGGAACTCGATCCAAATTCTCCCGATTGGGACGTTGATGTGTGCAAAACGGTCGAATTTGTGCATCGGTGTATCACCATGTTGGTCGCCTCTGATGCCCCCGAGCTCGCTTTGCGTCTATTTCTCAAAGCTGCCTTGGTTATTGATCAAATCGATTTCAGCAAACGGGAGTCTATGGCCTACGAGTTCGTATCTCAAGTGAGTATTACAAGTTTCTGGTCTGCTGCGGACAAGCGGTGCCTCTGGTAGTCAAACAGATATCCGTATTGATATCAGAACTACTCATGCAGTTTGATTGGCGAACTACGTGCGATCTTTCTGTGTAATGTTACTATTTTCTTGTATCCAGGCTCGATTGGAATCGGCGAACTTGTGAAATCTGTCGCGCTGTCCTTGATGGATCGAGTATGTGCTGCAGAAGTTCAGCCAGTTGTGCCATACGATCCAGAGACTTGGCCACTACGGGAACAGGATAAAAATAGACTGTCGGTGTTCGAACACCATTTTCTGGGTCTTATCACACGAGTCTGGTGGGGAAACCGGTCGTGCAATGCTGAGGTTAGGCGTAGAGATTTAGGTACTCGCGGTCATCCACTGGACTTCCATAGATTACGCTACTTGGGACGTGTGTTGCACATGTCACTAAATAGGTTGCCACGGCGAGCGATATTTGCCGCGGCAGGTAGCGAATGGAAAAAAGTCAAGATCGGTTAAACTAAGAGCTGGCATGAGGTTATGAAAACCCTAACCAGGAAACTGGGTCACATAGGTCCCGTTAGGCTCCCTTGTTGGGGACCCCGAGATGATTTTCATTGAAGGTTAGAGGCACTTAGCCATGTGGCTCGGTGTCTCAAACAATGAATTGAATTTGCTCTCAATATTCCAATCTTCATTCTGCTGTTTCATCCAACTGGGCGGTCCAAAGACAGCAACCAAAACCAGCACACTATAGTGCATGGTTATTGGCTGTAA